AAGCTAGTCCGCACTGTCATACGCCCAACCGGGCAACGTTTGCGCTGCCAGACGCGGAGCAGTCATGGCTAGTGATTGTGGTCGTAAAGTCAAATGGTCGTAAGTTGCATAGGTCATAAGTCGATCAATACCTGTATAAGCGTTCCTTTTTCTCCATGACCTCAGCAGCATTTGTTATTTTTTAATTTTTCTGAAGATAGGGTCTCACTCCATTGCCCAGGCTGGAGTGAGACCTCTCACCATGTTGGATTAGTTGTTTCATGTCTAAGATCCTTATTATCTTCATTTGAAAAATAGGATACTAATAGCTTCTGCGTAGACCTGATGAGATTACTAAAATAGATCAGCAATTTTCAAACTTTTTGGTTTCAGGGTCCCTCTGTACTCTTAAAAATTATTGAGAACCCCAGAGAACTTTCGTTTATGTGAGTTATAGCTATCATTATGTATCATATTTCAAGTTAAACAGAGAAAATTATAAAGTGTTTATTCATTTTAAAATGACAACTATTAATGCTAACATTTTTCTGTGAGAAATATCTTACAAAACAAAAGAATTACTGAGAATCGTGTTTTTGTTTTAAATTTTTGTAAGTCTCTTTAATGTCTGGATTCATAGAAAACAACCAGAGTCTCAAATATGCCTCTGAATCCAGTCTGTCATGTTATGTTTTAGTTGGAGTATGTAGCAAAAATAAAGCTTCACATAGACATGTAATGGGCAAGAGAACGGTATTTCGATGGCCTTCTCAGTTATATGTGGATGTTGTTGTTTGATTCATCACTGTGCTTTGATAATTGATGTTGTCTTAAAAGTTGTAAAGTGCAATCAGAAGCCATACTATGAACCTTTATGTACTCACTGACATAAAGTCCATTGGTTTACTGTACACTTGGAATGACTTTTTTGCCATGCCTAATTTTTAAAACAGTGTCATTGGCCATTTGGAAAATATTAGTTCCCTAGATTATATAGATCTCCTGAAAGTTGGCTCATTTCATAAACCACATTTAAAAAAAAATCATAATACCTAACATCACCACTAGCCTCATCAGACAAGTCTTCAGTATTGAGAAGCCGTCAAGCTCAGGATGGCAGATCTGTGTTTTCCAAAATTCTAATTTTTCCTTGAAAACTCAGATTTTATCACTGGCAACAAGTTTGTTTTCCTGGGAGTGACAGGCTCGCTTCATTCATTTCAGTAATAGATCTGCCAAGTGCTCAAGTCTGAATAGCCACAGTTTATCTAAAGCTGTTCTTACAAGTAAGAAAAAACGGGGGGGTGGGGGGGGGCAGGGCAATAATTTTTCCAGGAAGAAAGTGGCTAGCACAGTTTACAACACCAGGGATCATACCAGTGCTCTTCCATGAGATAGCCATTGCCCTTCAGTACAAAGCAGAAATACTTTTTGCATTCTTCCCACTTCACTATACAATGCCAAAAAGCTACGTACTTAAGAATCAAGATTTAGTAAAGTTAATATTCATTAGTGCATCATCAGGGACATTCATGAGACTGGCTTTCTCCCTCTTACTGCCAGTATGGCAGTAAAGAATACAGTGTTCATGCCATGTGCGATGGCTCACAGCTGTAATCCCAGCACTTTGGGTGGCTGAGGCAGGTGCATCACCTGAGGTCAGGAGTTCGAGACCATCCTGGTCAACATGGTGAAACCCTGTCTCTATTAATACAAAAATTAGCTGGGCATCATCACACACACCTGTAATCCCAGCTACTCGGGAGGCTGACGGAGGAGAATTGCTTAAACCCAGGAGGCAGAGGTTGCAGTGATTCAGGATTGCGCCATTGCACTTCAGCCTGGACAACAGAGCCAGAAGACTCGTCTCAAAAAAAAAAAGAAGAATACAGTGTTTCCTGGGCTTTGATTTATGATCAGGCATCTGAAGGTTTACTACCCTCCAGGCACCTTTATGCCTTACACCTTCTACATTACGAATGTTAAGATAGTGAAGAAAAAAAGCAAATAAAATGAATTCTGTCTCTCACCAGCTCCCTGAAAGGGTCTCCAGGACCCCAGCAGTCTGCAGACCTCTTTGAGAAGCACTGAGATAGACAGTAGAAATGACATATCCTATTGCCAACACTGAAAAGTTAGCCTTTTCTTCCTGCTCTTTATTGTTTATGGCTGTGGACTTGGTGACCAGCTGGTTCGAATGAAGGCCAGCTTTTGGGAGAGGTGTTATTTTGATGAAATCTCACTTAGAGTTGTCTCTTAGTTCCCTAGAGCCCAGTGCCTACTTTCTCCTGGGATGTTACATGAAGACTCAAAACAAGTATTGGTTTCAGGTTAACTTTACTGCTGGTTTCTGTGCAAAAAAAACGTGCATTAATCCTTGTTTTTTTTTTTTTTTTTTTTTTTTTTTTTTTTTTTTTTTTTTTTTTTTTTTTTTTTTTTTTTTTTTTTTTTTTATGTTATGGAGCTAATATCATTTTAACTATGATAATTTCCTAATCTTTATAGGGTCTTAGTGGTGGTATCAGAGGCTCTTTGGTAGTCCTGCATATGGACTTTTAGGTGGCCCCTGAGCCCTTTAATTTTTTTTTTTTATACGAAGTTTCACTGTTGTTGCCCAGGCTGGAGTGCAATGGCATGATCTTGGCTCACTGCACCCTCTGCCTCCCAGGTGCAAGCCATTCTCCTGCCTCAGCCTCCCAAGTAGCTGGGATTACAGGCGTGTGCCACCACGCCTGGCTGATTTTTGGGTATTTTTAGTAGAGACAGGGTTTCACCATGTTGGCCAGGCTGGTCTTGAACTCCTGACCTCAGGTGATCCACCTGCCCACCACTGCCAAAGTGCTGGGATTATAGATGTGAGCCACAGCGCTTGGCCGCCCTTGAATTTTTTTGTTGTGGTTCAGCATTTAACATCTCAGCAAAGCCCTTGAAATTTTACAGACTTCTTTTGTTTCATTCAGGTTGGGGGAGAAGGTGGGTTATTAGAGTAAGTTAAAAGCTTCAACCAGATTCTCAGGGGTCGATAACCTGCCCCCTATAAAAACAAACGTTAAAGATGACTTTTCGGATGTACATTTTTAAAGGGGAGCATCTCCCACCCGTTGTCTATTTCCTGGTTTGCAAGCTTCCTCCCTGGCTCTGCTGTCTTTACTTTTCCTCCCCTGGGCATTTCTGCACAGTCCGCATCATCCAGCACTTGCTGACGAGTCACTTTACTGTGATTTTTTAGTGTGTTTCCCGAGAGAGCAAGGGTCTATGCATCTTATTTCTTTTATATTCCAAAATGCAAAGTCAGAGCTGAATCCCTTCAGATATACCCTGGGGGATAGGGGGAGTATTTTAGGCTAGAGAATACATCAGCTAAATTAGCAGGTTCCTTTTTGAACTATTGAGATGTGCAAACTTAGAATATTTATTTATGCCTCAACCCCAAGATGTGTTTTTCTCCCACATTCTTCAGTCTGCTTCTTGGAATCCAAGTGCTGTCAAGAAAGCTGCAAGGCAGTCTGTTTAGTTCCAACAGGAGAATTTTTGGAAAACTTCCTTGATTCTGTAGGAGGAGTGTGGTGACTACCACTTGCTGACGAGAAGCCACGGAGGATTCTGCAGCATGACAATATGTAGATCTGTATCCTAAGATGCCAGCCCCACCACACACGCCCCCGTCCCCATCAGCTCTGCTGGGCTGCGGAGGAGGTGAGATGAGGTGGTACAGGGTGGCCCTGCGGCAGTGCCGCCGCTTCATGGTGTCGGTGTCTCCACAAGGCCAGTAGTTGGCTTCACCGTGGTGGGCAAGAGTTAGACAGCAGGTTTGACCGATTGCGCCCTGACTTAAACAATGCAATTGTTCCTGACTTCGGAAACAAAGTAAAGAGTTTTGTAGTATGTGGCTTAATTCAGTGGCTTTTCAGCTTTTGAAAAGCTTTGGTTCATCTCACACAATACATACTAGCACCGAACAGTTGGGAAGCAACAATGTCCCTGTCCTTTGTGGGAAGCAGGAAAATAAAATAACTATGAATAAGTTGAATTGACCCCGTTATGAAGAAGCAGAAGAATAGCTAAATAGTACACTGACAAAATGGGTGTGTGTGGCAATCAGATCCCATAATACCATATTCAAGATTTTGTCTTGGCGGGGGCACAGTGGCTCATGCCAATGATACCAGCACTTTGGGAGGCTGAGGTGGGTGCATGGCTTGAGCCCAGGAGTTGGGGATCAGTCTGGGCAACATGGTGAAACTCTCTCTCTACAAAAAATAAAAAAATTACCCAGTTGTGGTGGCACACGCCTGTAGTCCCAGTTTCTTGGGCGTTGATGGAGGAGAATGGACTAACCCTGGGAAGTCGAGGCTATAGTGAGCCAGGATCATGCCGCTGCCCTCCAGCCTGGGTGACACAGTGAGACTCTGTCTCAAAAAAAAAGAATCTGTCTCTGCTTGCTAGGTTGCACTTTTAAACTTAGCTTTCTGGACAACATTGAATAATCCTAGCATACTAAATTCTGTCTTTGCATTACTTGCAATTTCTAAATAATGAGAGTTGTCACTCACGTGGTATTTTCAGCAGAGTAGGTGCAGCCCAACACTCCGTTTTCATGGGGTCAAACCTACAACATAGTTTATGTCTGTGGCTCTTTAGCAGATGGGAAAATCAGGACATAAGAACCTTGACTTGCCTTGAACTACTGACCAGTAGTACAGATGACGTTCATGGCCTTGGCGTCTTTGGCCAGGTCATTGGTCAATAAGAGCCACTGTCCCTCATCTCTTTGGACAGCACTCTTCATACTGGTGGGCTCAGTAAATGTGAGTGCATGCACTGTTTGACTCACTCACTCCTCAAGGGCTGAATCTGGTCAAACTCTCATTTAAGGAACATGCGCCTTCTCGGTGGGAGAGTAAGGTAAGGTGAACCTTGGCTCTGCTTTCCAACCAGGTGGCTTTTGCTATTGCATGATAAAATGTGCAGCTTCACGTTTCTGTGCCTCTTGCCACTACAGTGCCCTTTCTGTTTTTAAGGAAAGAAGGATTGTCCAAATGTGGAAGATGCAAGCAGGCATTTTACTGCAATGTGGAGTGTCAGGTAGGTGCTGGGCCAGCTGGCAGGGAGGGCCTAATTTCCTCTGAAGTCCTCCTCTTCCTTGTCATGGCATTCCTCAGCGCCATCCTGTAGTCAGAGCTGGAAAGCATAGGATGTGGCTGGATATCCTTGGGTGTGTGCTGACCCTGACCTCACAGGCAGCCAGTGATGGGCAGTAACAGTTCGAGGCTGCATGCAGGACCAAAATCAAGTTGCAGGAGGAGACCATGTTAGATACAGGCAGGTGTGCTAGCAAGTTTGAGAGTTTGCCCCAAGGACTGCACAACAGATGGAAAATGCAGAGATGACAAATAAACAGCGTTAAAATGCTGAGTGTGGTGGCTCACGCCTGTAATCTCAGCACTTTGGAAGGCCGAGGTGGGCAGATCACAAGGTTAGGAGTTCGAGACCAGCCTGACCAACATGGTGAAACCCCGTATCTACTAAAAATACAAAAAAAGTTAGCTGGGCTTGGTGGCTTGCACCTGTATCCAAGCTACTCAGGAGGTTGAGGCAGGAGAATCACTTGAACCTGTGAGGCGGAGGTTGCAGTGAGCTGAGATTGTACTCCAGCCTCCAGCCTCCAGCCTGGGCGACAGAGCGAGACTCCATCTCAAAAAAAAAAAGCTATCGGCCGGGCGCGGTGGCTCACGCCTGTAATCCCAGCGCTTTGGGAGGCCGAGGCGGGTGGATCACAAGGTCAAGAGATTGAGACCCTCCTGGTCAACATGGTGAAACCCCGTCTCTACTAAAAATACAAAAATTCAGCTGGGCATGGTGGCACGTGCCTGTAATCCCAGCTACTCCAGCTGAGGCAGGAGAATTGCCTGAACCCAGGAGGCGGAGGCTGTGGTGAGCCGAGATCATGCCACTGCCCTCCAGCCTGGGTAACGAGAGCGAAACTCCGTCTCAAAAAAAAAAAAAAAAGCTATCTTTAAGTTTTTTAATTTTTTTATTGTTGTATTTTTATAAATCCCTCCATAGCAGGCTACATCTTACCCTCAGGCTGTTTGAATCCAGCCTGCTTGCAGCTAGACTCTGGTGAGCCCCTGATCCAACCTCTGCATAGCCAGAGGGGGGCTTTTCTGAACTCGTAACTGGGGCCAGTACCTCAGGAGCAGCCAGGGCTGAGGGGTTTAGGATGAATGAGTCTCAAATGAATCCTGAAATGTAGAAATGGGAAGGTTAATGAGGAGGATGTTGAAGGAATTCTTGGTAAACTCTGTGAGGGCCTAAGAGTGATACTTCCCAAACTGTTGTAGTAAACACTTGTTCCACAAAATGTTTGTAGGTATTCCACAGAAAATGCATTTCATGTTCAAACAACTTATGGGGACGTGGTCTCTTTACTTCAGAACCTGTTGTAGCCTTGAATTTGCTAGTATGGCATTGTGAATTTCTAAGCTGCCTTCTTCCATCTTTCTGTACCTCCCCCTGGCATTTATTTTTAAAGGGAACCTATTAATACACCTTGGGAAATGCTGATGCTATTAAAGCGTGGCTCTACGGGACAGGGAAGATTTTCTCCATATCCGCATCTCTTTTTGTTGTGCTTTCCATACCGTGTGTCATCCTTCTCCCTCCCCACCCTGCAGCCCCATCCCTGGTCCACTTTGGATTACCCACTATTTCATTTTTTTTCTTTCTCACCTCCCTACACTGTTGGCCTCTGAAAGGCCTCAAAGAGCGTTATTTAGCAGTGGGAGAGATTGCTAAGCCCGGGTGTCTCATCTGACTGTAGCACTCCAGGGACAGCGGCCCCTCCCCAGAATGAAGCACAGGCTGAGACCTTGGCTTGGGAAGCTCAGACTCTGCCTTGGCTCTGAAGACCATATGCACAGTCCCCTTCCCTGTGTTTCCCACAGCAGGCTCCCGGAGGCTGTCGGCCTGTGTGGCAGTGAAAATATAAATGGAGCTTGTAGTTGAGTTTTCGGGGAGGGTGCCTTCTTTTGAAGAGGAAAGATCATACTTTGCTCCTACCCATTGTAGATAGAGTAGTGCAATGGCATTGTAGAGATCAGCAGGCCCTGCAAAATACACGGTTTGATTCTAGGCCTCCCAGATGAGTTCGCTGTTTCTATATGTAAGTTAAACACTTCTAGAAAAATTAACTCATTCCATTCTGGTTCTGTAGTGAAGTAAGCATAGGGAGTCACATGTAGTTCAGATCAAATAGCATGGAGTGGCAGGAGGCCATGGTCCCAGGAGCAGGTCCTGGCTCTGCTACTTACTAGCCCTATGAAATTGCCAAGTTACAAAATATCTCTGAGGCTCAGTTTCTTTAAATCTGAACTGAGGACAATGGCACCCACCTTGGTGAGTTAGGAAGTTAGGGACCACGTGATGTGATAGATATTAAAGTTTTATATAAGCTGTAACCCTATATACAGGTGTGAGGAGTTTGTATAAATAATCATATTACCGTCCACCAGAAAATTGAATTTGTGTAATTCAGGCTAGACTAAAGCTTAGCTTTATGCAGAGAAATAAACAGCATCGTTTTGATTTAAGGCACTTGGTTTTTCAGCCTGAGAGAATGGCTGGATTCTAAGAAACTGAGGGTACTGATGGTGTACATTGTGTAAATAATGCTTATTACAAAATGAGTCTTAACTCCTCTAAGTACCTGTGAACAGTGTATTAATAGGTACCATCAGAGTGTGTGGCATGCGGAGTTAGCTCTGAGTCTTCTCCTGAGCATGCTGCTGAACTGTCTTCTGTGAGGGCTTATGAGGTGGCAGTATTTTGATGAATCGTCATGGCCCAAGCTGGGATTTGAGATGCCCTTTATGGTTTCCCTGCCCCAGGACCTAGAATCCTAGATTCCTAGAAACCTCATTTGTAAGCATATAATAAGGGGGTGTCCTCCCTTGGGGGAGGCTCACATTAACCAGTATCCCAATCTGTATGTACCACAATGCCAGTTGATTACTTTACAACAAGAAGTTGAGCAGTCTAGACATCCTGCCCTTGGAGACAAAACCGTACAGGTAGTCACTTCATAATGAGACCGTTACCTGGGGAGCAAGGAACCCCAGGAATGGAGTAAACAGTTAGGGGATTCTACTGTTTCAAGGCAGCAGGCCAAGAGAGCCTGCTGTGTCCAGGCTCATAATGGAGTTTCCCCTGCTGCTCACTCAGTTTCCGGGCAGGGGCATCCTGAACACTGAGGATTACTTCTGCAATTCTGCTTTCCTACACTTCTGTTAAGTAACTGGTGACCAAAGTACCCTCCTAGGAGGTGAGCGGTACCACAGCTCCTGAAGCCTCTTGTTTCTAGAGGTGGCAGGCTGGATCTGACCTGTAAGTTTCATTTTTGTTTCATCTGTCTCCCATTGCTGAAGGAACAGGCTAATGACCATTAAAGTTTTTCATCCTTTACTACCAAAGAACTAAATAAGTGTGGGCAGTGTATTATAAAGAGATAGAGCAGGCATAAAGGTTTAATAAAAGTAAGTGCCTAGAAATAAAGGCTAGTGCAAGGGCTTCGTAAAGGAAATCATTAGGGAGGAATCTGGGGCATTTGCTCCAGATAAAAATGTGTTCAGGGTTCAGCTTAAGGGAGTGCTTGCATGGGATCAAAGTAGAGGCTCTGCTTAAAGGATAAAACGTGGCACAAAACAAGAGCGGCAATGAGGAAGGTAATTGATTCTCCACCTATGAAAGCATGGCCCTCAGCTGCTATTAATTAACTGGTCCTTCCTCAAAGGTAGACCCTACCCTCCTGGAGTCATCAGGTGGTCAGTGCCACACTGCAGTGGTAGAGTTAGGATGGAGGTTATTGAGTTCAACATGTCAATAGATAAGAAAGCAGAGTCCCAAGTGGTTGGGTGACCCAAGATCAAACAGCAGCAGAACGGAGACAAGACTTTACCCATTACTTGGGGAGGGCTTTCACCCCTTTACAATAGTGTGTTCGGGAGAAGTGAGGGCCCTCTAGGAACGGAGGTGCTGTGGGAATGTCAGAGAAAGTGAAGTGGCCTTCAGTGGATGCGAAAGGGAAGAGCTGTGTCCATTGTTGCCTTGGCCAGAAACCTCTCCAAGAGTGCTAAAGGCTCACATTGCTTCCTGGGAGTTTCCTCTTTACACGAAGTAAGGATTCTTAGGGGATCCTGGCCATGATGTATGTTCTCCCCAAGTCCTCTTCTGTCTTCAGTGCTTTAGGATTTTGCTTTATTTGATACAATTTGGTTCTATCTTGTCCCGCTACTTCCCTCTTAGTTCACTTGACTCAATGTGATGGTGCCAGAGGAAAGATTTTAATTGCTAATGCATGAAAGGGTAATGGGAGGAAGTATAAAAGAAACAGAAATTCCTTTTTAGTTGGGCGTGTTATTTTGTAACCTGTGTGTTTTAATGAACTGTATTTATTTTTCTAAATATGTCTGAGAAGCAAAGTATATTATTCACCCATTCACCCATAAATTATACTAGGATATTTTCAAGAGAAGAGTTTTAGAAAGTTATCGTACAGAGTAATCATTGTGCAGTAGATCATTCTAGGGTACATTTCTTAACTGTAATGAATATAAAGAAGAAAACCTTTGTGTTTTGGAGCTGCGGGGGTTATGTGTAAGCTTTGAAAGTAGGAAGGGATTTTTTTTAAGTGGGTATGAGGAGCATGTGAGAAAATAGTAGGCCCTTGTCATTGAATAGAAAATAATGAAGCATAGACAATGTCTAATAAATGCGGTTCTTATGGGTGATTAATGTAATGGGGCCAGAGTCATAGGTTCAATCTTGGTTCGGTTCACTCCTGTCAGCCATAGGAAGCATTTTAAATTTGGGCCATCTTTCTTTTCTAAATATTTAACATCACCAGTAGGAAGAAAATGCGTGCAAATGAGTTTGTGTCATCACTTACTTTGGGAATACTATAAGAACAAAGCATATGTCTAGTGATGGTAGTTAAGCTGCGTGGGCCATCTTTGTATAAGCTGGTCAAGTTCCACCTGATTGCTTTTCCACTCTTCTTCTTAAAGATTATGCTAGTGGAAAGCAGAAATCCTGTGACTTTTTCTGCTGTTCCACATTTTAAGAAATCACATGTGAATGTGTACAAGTAGACTGTGTTTGTTGTTAGAACAATAGAAACACCAAATGCTAGAGGCAGAAAGGGGTCTTCGTGATGAAAATCCAGTCTCTTTATCCAGGAAGGGAACGTATTTGCTCAGCAGAAAACTGGATGCCATAATAATCACTCTTTTCTTCCAGTGCTGGAAATGCTAGTGCACTATGAGACTATTTTGCAACTCTTTATGCATCTTTAAGCATTTTTGACTATGCACAAAAGTGAAAGTCATGCACAGTCGTTATTATCTTAGTTGAAAATGAATTGGCTAGGAGCGGTGACTCACACTTGTAATCCCCGCATTGGCCATCCTGGCCAACATGGTGAAACCCCGTCTCTACTAAAAATACAAAAATTAGCTGGGTACGGTGGTACATGCCTGTAATCCCAGCTACTGGGGAGGCTAAGGCAGGAGAATCGCTTGAACCAGGGAGTTGGAGGTTGTAGTAAGCCCAGATCGTGCCACTGCACTCCAGCCTGGTGACAGCGAGAGTCTGTCTTTAAAAAAAAAAAGAAAAGAAAATGAATTAGAAGTTTTAAAAGAGGACCATCAGTATGAAAAATTCCGTATCTCACCTTTTTTATAGATTTGATTAAGTTACACAATCTGTGCTCATTATGGGAAAATCAGAAAGTAGAGACGAAAAGAACAGAACAAGTATTCATAATCTTATCCCCTGAGAGAAAACCACTAGTAACATGTACTTTGGTCTATATCTTTCTGAATCCCTTCTGTACCTGTGTATGTATTTTAATTTATTTTATTTTATTGGAAAATGAGATCCTAGTTTACAGAAAATTTTATAAGGATTGCAATCAGGGCAGGAGCACTAACTTGAAATTTGAAGAATAACAGTAGGAAAGGTTTTAGAAAAATTGGTTACGTTTTAAAAAGCATAAAGAGCTGCAAAATCACTCTATATACAACAGTACTGCCAGTATTCAAAAATAATTTATAACATTCATTCCTATTCATCAGGTTAGCCTAATTTTTTTTCAATTTTGTTCAGCCTGGTTGCTTATAATTTCTTACGGACAAAATTAGGGTAGTTGCCTCTGTCAGGTTCTCTAAAATATGTGGACCATCTCTATGGTAGAAGAGAATATATCAAAATATGCTTAAAACCTCCCTTTTCTACTAGATTCTATCACAACTTCCTTTTTTAAGAATTAAAGCTGTGCAGTGCCATCGTGGTATATCTCTGCCATTCCTCCCTTAATCCACCTTCAAAAAAGAAAGTGAAACATTACTTATGGTAAATTTTCCTTGATGAAACTTAACCTGATTCTACATTTTCGTGGATTTAAATCAGCTGTGTGATTTAAATGCTATGAGTGGGACTGTGTCTAATTGTAGGTGCTCTTACTTTTACCCTCGTTCTGACATGGTCATAAACTGCTTGAAGTCAAAGACTTCATCTCCCATCCCTGTCTGTAGGGTCAGTTGTAGAACTTGTTGAATGAATGAATGAATGAATGAACAATTACCAGTGTTTAGGAGCGCAGCATGTACCAGGCACTGTTCTGAGTGCTTCTTGTGGATCCACTGATGGGATCCTTTGTGTTTGTATGAATGCTTGATTATCCCTATTTGGCCCCCATTTGTTGGTCGTCTTCAAGCTTCATGTCTGATTATCACTGTTGGAAGGTGTAAACTCAAAGACTCAGAATACTGGACTTGCTAAGTAACTTAGGGATCATGTTATTTACAGCCAAGGAGACAGGCGCAAAGGGATTAAGAGACTTGCATAGTCCCATGGCTGCTTCGCTGCAGAGTGGGGATAAAAAAAAATGCAAGATCTCTGAGTCCCAGGTCAGTAGCTCTCCTGCTTCACAGCACTCTGCTTTCCTCCCAGAGCGTTCCTTGTAGTTTAATTCCCTTCCTTTTGAGGACATTTATATCAATAAATGTCACCATTTTGTAATATTTACAGTAACATCAATTTTAAATCAATTACATTGATAAATTGATTAATAATTAATTATATTAACAAATGTTTCTATTTAACTTCCCAGGAATTCTTTGTAGCTGCCAAACGCCAAAGCACCACCTTCAGTTCAGAAAACAACAGCTTACAGGCACATTAGGGACAGAGATTATGTCTTAAATTGGTGTTTTCTTGGAGTTCCTGGAGTCATAGTGAGCATTTGTCTATAGTTGTTAATGATCCATCTGTCCCCAGCTGGTGGGTCCCCATTTCCCCTCATGTATCCTGAGGGTCATCTCTGTCTGTTCCTCTTTGCTCTGCAGCTGAAGAGGAAACTGATTAGTCTGCAGTGAGCCAGCCCCACCTGTTCCTACCTCTTCGCCTCATCACCATGCTTTCATTTTCGCCTTTGGCTAAAAACAGATCCTCTTCTCCCTTGTGCATATCTTGTCATTTCTTTCCCTCCCTGCTCTTAGTTATATTCAGTGCGGCGTTATTTAAGTCTGCAGAACATCTTGGCCCAGAACTTGAGCTAAGGGGATGTACCACATACTGCATTAAATCATAAAGTGACATTATGTGCTTCCTTCTTCAGGGATCAGGGTGGGTAGGGAGACACTTCATCTTCAGGGAAGTGGGTAGGGAGACATCTTCATTCCTTCAACGACTATATTGAGTGCCTAGTAAATGCCGGGCACTGTTGTCAGTTCTGGGGTTATACAGCTATGAACAAAACAAAATTTCTTTATTTTACTGGAGAGAGACAGATACTAAACCAAAGAACTAATAAATATGTAATATGCTCAGGTGGTGAGAAATACCAAGAAGCAGCAGAAAGCAAGGAAAGGGAGAGTGATGGGGAAGTGCTGTTCCGGTTGATTGTGGCAAGTATCTTGAGAAGGAGACATTCCAGCAGCGCTGGAGAGGAGGAAGGGAGGGAGCCACATGGATATGCAGGGGAGGAGAGCACTAGTCACAAAAACAGAGCACGTGCACAGGGCCTTGAGGCAAGTGCATGGCTCCAGGAGTGGCCAGGATGTTGCTGTGGCCAAGTACAGTGAGGCGGGCGAGAGTGCAGTGGGAGATGACGGGCCGGGAGTGGTGCAGGGGAGCTCCCATCACGGGTGGCCTCCTAGGTCACCTTTAGCACTTGGCCTTTTGTCTGGATGAGAAGCCATTATGTTCTGAGCTGAGGACTGGCTTGATCTGAGTTGTATCCACAGGATCCTTCAGGCTGCTCTCCAGAGCCTAGTCCATGGGGGCAAGGACAGAAGCGGGCATCCAGTTAGAAGGCAGTGGCGGGGCAGTAGTATTGATAGATGTTGGGGCTGCAGCCGGGTAGAAAGATTGGGGAGCTGAGGAGTGAACAGAATCGAGGCAGAGACAGGATTTGCCAGAGCTGACTGAATGTGGAGTGTGAGTGAGGGAGCAGCATCAGGAATGACTAGCTTTCTGGCCTGAGCATTTATTTTTATTTTTGAGACAGAGTCTCGCACTGTTGCCCAGGCTGGAGTGCAATGGCGCGATCTCGGCTCGCTGCAACCTCTGCCTCCTGGGTTCAAGTGATTCTCCTGCCTCAGCCTCCCAAGTAGCTGGGACTACAGGCACACGCCACCACGCCCAGCTAATTTTTGTATTTTTAGTAGAGACGGGGTTTCACCATGTTGGCCAGGATGGTCTCGATCTCTTGACCTCAGGTGATCTGCCCACCTCAGCCTCCCTAGCCTGAGCATTTATGGCCATTTTCTGAGCTAGGGAAGGCCAAGGACAGAGCAAGACAGTACCCAATTCCGTCGTGAAAGAGACAATGTTTGAGGGCTCCTCCCATCAGTATACAACATGCTCTGATATTTCCCATCTAAAAAAAAAAAAAAAAAATCCTCTGCAACTCTTCACTCTAAGCCATGTCTCCTTTCATTCTCTCTTGAATCTGCTCCTAGTTGTTTCTTACCCATCATCCCACCAAACCTGGTTTTTATGAAAATCAGCAAACCTCCATGATTCCAAATCACATTCTCTGTCATCTCACAGTAAACCCATTTCCAGCCCTGGCATCGTCATATACTCCCCAGTCCTAAAAGAACTTTCCTCCCTCGGCCTTCAAAACACCATGGTGTCCTCTCAGTGCCTTTTCCATCTCAAGGGATGGTGCCTCCACCCTTCAGTAGCAAGTGCGTATCCTTCATCCCTTTACCTGGGGTAGGAAAGCTTCGGGGTGTACGATAGAAAGAATACTACTGTTTTATCCAAATATTCCTAAATATTTCCAGTGGTTGCCCTTGACGAAACTCTCATTTGTGCTTTTTAAAAAATCACCTGTAAAAGGGACTCATTGCTGTGTAAGTCAGCTCTCCATTATTTGCCCTGACGTGAAAACAAAGCCAGAGTGGACCTGTGAGGCAGGAGAGCCAAATCAATGGCTGACACCCAAACCCCTCCCCCTGCAATTTGACAGCTTGCACAGATGATGGAAAGGTGCATGTGTTGTATGGAATAATGAGGGGCTGCAGAAAGCCATGAAGAGCTTGATGAAAAATCACAGCAGATCTTTTCATCCCAACAACCTTGACCAGGCCCGAGTCAAGGTCATACAATCCTGCCTGTCTTAAAGGATGTTTTTATCGCTGGCTTTTGTGAGCATCCTCGTGTTTTCCAAAAGGAAACATATTTTACTTGACCTTAACTAGGGGGACTCATTGCATCCTCTCCTCTCACACGTTATTCCAGTGTATGTGCTGTTTTTTTAATAATGTTTTTCAATCTTCCCAGAAAGAAGATTGGCCCATGCACAAGCTGGAATGTTCTCCCATGGTTGTTTTTGGGGAAAACTGGAATCCCTCGGAGACTGTAAGACTCACAGCAAGGATTCTGGCCAAACAGGTGAGGAAATGGAATAATGTTCAAGTGTATTTTATTTTATTTTTCGTTTAAAGGTCAGAAAGATGAGTAACTGACCTGTGGTAACCATTTCTCGTTAAACATCCTTAGACTCCATCTCCTATCATATCAACGTGGACAAGGGTAGGGAAAATACCACCCTGTCCATAGGGAGGAAACCAGGCATAATCTGGTTTGTTGTGTGCCTGTGAAATTAGGATGTTGCTTACCCTAGACCAGGAGCATAGCCACAGCTCTGAAGTTCTGAGCTTTTTTCGTGACAGGTTTATGTAGAAAAACATGACATGAAAAACCTGACCCCAAATAATTAGCTTCCTAGGGAACCAGATTGGTCTGAGCAGCTTTCACATTTTCTCCTCTTTCCTTTCTGACTTGAGGAGTGTACTCTGTTCCCCTATCCTATGCAATATTCTGTTCTTCCCTAGCCCCTTACTTTCTTGCCAGTGCATAAGCAGGCAAAGAATTGGATGGAACAGCCACGACTATGACCATGTGCAAAGAAGAGAAAGAGTGTGTAGAAATAGAGGCAAGGGGGAGGGGACGAGAGTTGAAAACAAAGTGATGAAGGAAAGAAAGAGGTGCCCTTGATGGAAACAGATGATAGCCATCAATAGTTTTCTCCAAAAATGATGCCAACACTGACTCTTCCGTGGTGGGCAGCCCTATGCAAACTTATCCTCAAAGACCAAAGAACTTGAGAGACAGAAGAAAGAAGCTGCCAAATT